ACAGTCTTGAAGGTCTTTTCCAACCATAAGGATTCTATGATTCTAATGCATTTTGAGGCTGCGACATTGCTGAGCATCACAGAGCAAATGCAGTGTGCATTCCTTGGATATTGAATTCTTCCTCACACTATCGCTCTGAAAAATTTGTCAAGTCTGAGCATGGAAACAACGGTAGTAGTAGCTTTGCACTATGGGCAGTCATTGTAATCATGACAAGAAGAATGAGAAAAGTAACATTTATAGCAAGAATTTTTAAGTGCAGAGAGCACTCAGTCTCCTTTACTTTTACTGCAAATTATTTGGAGTTAAACTGCAAAATGTATCACTGTACTATATCAGAATAAAATGGGAAACAGCAATGTAAATGTACCATAAAATGGCAAGATAAACCTTGATTTCTCCTAGCTTTCAGTTTTGTTTGATTTATCAGCTGTTGTAGTCCCAAAGGTAGAGATATGTCTTTACATGCCAGGATATGAATCTTCACATGTGTGCATTACTCTCAGTAAATGCTATTCGAGCTGCTTTGTTTAGCTGTTCTTACATGTATCTTTTCTCTGGCTGACTCAGAGTCAAAAATTTTGAGTTTAAATATTTCAAATTGCAAACTGAAAATTAACTATCTACAAAACCTGTGCTGTATTCCCTCAGGATTCACTGCCTTTACAACATCCCCAAAAATACAAAACACAAGCAAAGCTGCTCAACATTTCTGAAAGGGAAGTTTATCCTGTATGGCATACTGCAGCTCACTGGCAAATCTGGAAAGAAACTGCGAAGTACACAAATAGCTACCTGGCATTATATATTTGTCATACATGAACTGAAACTCAATTTCATTAATAGGAAGACAGCTGCTACTTGCTTCAACCTCCAAAGGGGGAGGAAAAAAAAAAAAGGCAAAAGGGGCAGTTCTGTAACCAGAGCCAGACATGTAGTTCAAAGATGTGTTTTTGACTGCGGTAAGCAGAATCCTTTAAGGGCATTACCCACGTTATGCTGAAAACCCAAGTGTATGCTAAGGTAAAACCTTAACCAAACAGAATGGAAACAAGAAGACCAAGGAGAGCAATGAGATTCCTCTACTTTAACAAACAATAATTAAACAGTTGTAAAGAATACACAAACTTATTACCAAGTTCTTCGAAGAAGACAGAACAGCGTGTTCCTTATTTTTAGTTAAACAAAACATTCAGGGTGAGGTGGACAGGGACAGCCAGTAGAAGATGGAACAGGTTATGTCCCTGTGACTCTTCTTCATGGGGGTGTCCTGGCTGCACCTACGCTGGTGCAGCTGGTACCTGTGCGCAAGCATCGGTAGCTGGGAAACGTGTTAGCCTGGCAGCACTCAGGGCAGCACCTCCTTGTATAGGCACCACATGTGCTGCTTAAAAGAAGCCAAAAGCCTCTCAACCAAAGGATAGGAAGTTTCAATCAAGGCTGAGGGAGAGGAAAGATAATGAAAACACCTGTGAGACCTTACATATCAGAGAACAATAATTACAAATAGGCAATCTATACTGCAACCTTGAAGCACCAAATTTTGTCTACTTATACAGTTAGTGACTCCAACCACTGAAAAATTTACCTGTAGAGAAGCCCTCAGACTTCTTGGGAAAAGAAGATCTCAGCACCGCACTTGGAAGCCTGAGTGGGAACACAAAGCGCCCTCCCAGCATGACTGGAATCCCAAGCATCAGCTCCAGAGACACCAGCTGTGGGTAAGTTATGCAGAGAAGTCACCAGCACTATTTGGCCCCAAGCAAAAGGAGTGTCAGTAGAAGGGGGCAGGGATTTTTTTTTTTAACTGAAAACATTATAACATCTGTTTCAAGATCCAAAGCAAGGGCAAGGCAGCAGTAATCCCCTCAGGGAGCTGAAGATCAAGGCACAGCCTCCGGAGCAGCCTTGCACAACCCAGCTCCGTTCTGCTGCAAGGGGCTCTTTCCCAGAGCCAGTCGGCTTTGAGGACTTGACCTTGCAGGCGCTGCCCTGCCCTCCTGCACCGCGCCATCGTACAGGCTACGTTTGCTTGTACCTGTTCTCCAGGATCTCCCAAGTACCCTCTGTAGAGTCATCCTGTTATTATCCATGTAATCAGAGA